TGAGTTGTCTAGAATAAACAAGTCCTTGGAGGCAGAACGTAGTTTAGTAGCTGCCAAGGTCTGGAGATGAGGGTCAGGGATGGAGAGTGAGTGCTATGGGTACAGGGTTTCTTTTGGGATGATAGAAAAGTTCTGGAATTAGATAGTGATGGTGGTTGCACCATAGGGAATCGATTTGATGGCAATGGGTTTAGGTTATTGTTTGGATGGTCGCAGTCTTGTGACTGTACTGAAATCCACGGCAGTATATCCTGAAGCATCTGGAAAGCTAAACAATGTACTAAGTCTGAGTGGTTAGTAAGCTTCTGGTGAATATTTGTGAATGATTTGACAAACCTACAGTGTTCACCTTTGATTTTTTGGGGGGAAGCATATGTTGAAAATATATGGAACTGTTCAATGAAATTTACCAGAGGCATGAAAATAGTAGAAATGACATAGCTTTAATAATCTGAGATATCTAAACCTTTTCTTGCATCTTAAAAAAAAAGTACTCCATATGATTTAAATTTTTAGTGAATGATTTTAGAATTTGTTGTGCTTATAGTTATGATATGGGGGACTTCAGAACTGCTTTCAGTTCCTCTCATTAAAACTCTTCAGTTTCTTGAGAAATTAATTTGGTTACTCTCAGATGCCAAGCTGAGAGGAGAATTTATAACTGTTATATATCCTTGCAATTTAATGATCTGAATTCTTATTGAACACTTAAATCTGAAAATTGAGATGTATACCACCTTGGTAAATTGCAATGGTGAAATACTTTATGCTTAGTAAGTAGAATAGAAAATAACCATAATGAGTTTCTTTTCCCTTTTTACTTTTTCCTCTTCCCCTGAGACACACTCGTTTTCCAACTTATGAATTCAGTCTCTTTTGTTTGTTCCAGCCACTTAGTTTTTCATATTACATACCTGTTTAATATTTAATTTCTCATTAAAAAGTAAATATGGCTAATTTTCCTATCACTATTTTAAGAAGTCTTCCATTTCTCTAGGTCACAGCTTTGATACAGTGCTGTCTAGCATGCATTACCACATAATTAAAATCCTATTCTTCCATCAGGGAGCTCTGGTGGCATAGTGCCTCAGGCACTTGACTGCTAACCAGAAGGCTGGCGGTTCAAACCCATCAGCCACTCCTCAGAAGGAAGGTTGGGCAATCTACTTCTGTAATGATCCCGCCTCGGAAACCCAAGGAGGGGTCGCTATGAGTTGGGTCCGACTCGACGGCACATAACAACAACATTCTTCCGTCAGATAGTTCTAGCATAGCAACTTATACATCTTAAATGGTTCAGATTGTTAGTTTTCTTCTGGAGCTAAATTGGTAAGTGGGATTGTAGGCCTGATTCTCTGAAGGAACCTGTGGTGAAGCGGTTAAGCACTTGGTTGCTCACTGAAAGGTTGGGGGTTTGAACCTACCCCACAGCTCCATGGCAGAAAGACATGGTGTTTTGCTCATTGATAGCTTGAAAAACCTGATTGGACAATTCTGCTGTGTCACATGGGGTCACTGTGAGTGGAAAATTGACTCACCAGCTCCTAACAACAACATCCTATGGGGAAGGTCGTTACAATTGTAGGAAAAATATTAAAAGATGAATGTATTGTAAGTGTTCATACTTTTCCGTCAGTCTCATCTGGTGTATGAATGTAGATACATTTTAAAAAGCACTTATCTTGGGTCATGTGGTATGGTAGTTAAGGTTGTGTGTCAATTTGGCTGGGCCTGGTTGAGTGGCTGGGCAGCTGGTGGTAGTTATTCCCCATGATGAGACTGGCAGTCAGCTCCATGGTGGGATCTACCACAAGCAGCTAAGTAGCTGCTTTAGGCATGTGGTCTGCTTCCAGTATATAAGAAGTAGCCTTGGGAATGGTCTCCAACTTAGGTACGCTTGAACCCTGCATGTAACTGGGTCATTATTCAGCAGCCTGCCATGCTCTGCTAATCTTGGGACTTTCAATGGAATTGAATTAGTGGCCTGCCGTGTGGCTAGGTAACATCGGGACTGTGCCTCTTTACTTGTCAGACTTGGGGCTTGTCAGTCTCAGCAGCCAGCAGGTGTTTGAAGAAAAGCCTCTAGCATCAGTGGGCCGGGAGCAGGAAGTAGAGGTGAAGCCCAAGGTTGAGGGGCTTTTACCTAGCCCCTAGAGCCTGGCACTTTGAACTCGGACTTAAAGCCACCAAACTGTAAGAGAATAAACTCTTGTTTGTTCAAGCATCCCATTTGTGGTATATTCCTGTCAGAGCAGCACTGGGTAACCAGAACATGTGGCAAATGCTTATTAAGCACTGATTACATACCAGTCACTGGCTTAGGCTTTGGGTGTTCAGTGGTGATCAAAACAAGCAAGGTAGCTCTTGCCTTTGGCCGTTGATGCTTTAATCATGGTGCTGAAAGAAGACCTCATGTGTCTGGAGTATCACTGAGGCATGCTGAAAGAAGACCTCATGTGTCTGGAGTATCACTGAGGCAAAGACTGGCATGGGATGAGACTGGAGGCTAGGCAGGGCCCTGGTAAGAACAAGTTCGTAGTTAGGGTAAAGACTACACTTTTTCTCACAGTGATGAGAAGCCATTGAAGATTTATAGCATGGGCATCCACCTGCTGTACTGCGGTTTTATAAAGATTACTCTGGGCAGCGGTAGAGAATGGTTGGGAACTTTTTCTTAAGCAAAGATAGAATTAGTTTTGATTTTCTGCTATGAGTAGCCTGGCATCTGTAGGACATTACGCAGATACTCTGTGTGTGTATGTTTTCTTGAAAGGTAATTACTTAATGGTCAGAGCCATAATTTGCCATTGCTCCTGTTACAGGTAACAATATTTGATATCTGTAATTACTTAGGGGAATTGCAAAAATCTCACAAATGTTGAAGAATTAAAAATCAACTTCAATTCCAATATGCAAAATAGGCAGTTTCTCCTAATGTTGTTTGGGGACCTTTTAGTTGGGATTTCATTAAATCCTCTAATTCATGAGAATGCTACAGAACTAGAATGTTAATAAGCCCATGGCAGTAAAGTAACTTTAGTTGTGCTAATAATGCAGATCTGTTGGGGGGTGCTAACAATGGAGAGCCTAAAGTACAGATACAGATGTAAAAAACAAACCACCACCAGAATCGAATCAGTTGCTATTGAGTTGGGTCTGGCTTTCAGAGTAGAATTGTGCTCCATAGGATTTGAAATGGCTGTGACCTTTAGGAAGTAGATAGCCAGGCCTTTCTTCTGAGCTGTTGATGGTTAGATTTACGCTGCTGACTTCGGGTTAATTCCTGAACACTGAGCAGTCTAAGCCAGCCAGGGGTTCCAGATACTGATGTAGATACGTAGTTTTTTTCCAGAGAATTTCTTTTGGGAGTGATTGATGTCAATTGGAATCCATATAGGAGAGTAAGGAGTATGTTTCAGGCTTTTTAGTTTGTTGCCATTTACAAATGAATTAATTTTTACTTAAGATTGTTGTTGTTGTTGTTGTTAGGTGCTGTCGAGTTGATCCTGACTCGTAGCAAACCTATGTACGACAGAAGAGAACCCTCCCTGGTCCAGCCCAGTCTCCCATTCATCGCTGTGTCTGCCCCCGTTGCTGCAGCCACTTTGTCAGTCCGTCTCGTTGAGGGTCTTCCTCTTTTTCACTGACGCGCTACTTTACCCAGCATGATGTCCTTCTCCAGGGACTGGGCCCTCCTGTCCAAGGCACATGAGACAGTCTCACCATCCTTGTTCCTAAGGAATGTTCTGGCTGTGTTTCTTCCAAAACAGATTTGGGTTCATTCTTTTTGCAGTTCATAGTATATTCAATATCCTTCCCAACCACCTTAATTCAAAGGCATCATTTCTTCTTAGGGAGCTCTGGTAGCATAGTGGCTAAGGCACTTGACTGCTAACCAGAAAGCTGGAGGTTCAAATCCACCAGCCACTCCTCGGAAGGAAGATGGGGCAATCTACTTCAGTAGTGATACTGCCTCGGAAACCCAAGGAGGGGACACTATGAGTCGGGTTTGATTCGATGGCACATAACAACAACAACAACAACAACTGCCTCGGAAACCCAAGGAGGGGTCGCTATGAGTCAGATCCAACTCGATGGCAATGAGTTTTGAGAGCCAAGTTGATGCTTATTTTTTGGGGGGACACAATTCAACCTGTAATAGTGACTTTATATGAAATGAAAATAGTAGCTACCATTTATTCAACAGCTACTTTTTCCCGAAACATTGATAATAGTCTCAGGAAGGAGGTATTATCCTTCCTAACGTAAATGTAAATAAATAAAAGTTTAAATGATTTGTCCGAGTTAGATAGGACAGTCTTTTCCTTTTTGACTTCAGAGCTTTGCACTTTCTCGTGTGTGGCCTAGATTAGAATCTTTGGGATATAAGAGTTAGCAAAGTCCTTGATTAGGAACCAAGTGAACTCTATAGAGAAAACGGACATGACTGGATAAGAACTTTTCCAACCTGCCCCTTTATCTACCTGTTTGGCCACATCTGCATCTGACAGACATTTACTTCCTTCTTCCGTTTGTGATGGCAAAGGCTCCTTTCTCCATGGACTTGAATTTATTTTCCTTTTTTATCTCTTACATCTTCAGTCTGTGTCTCTGTCTCCCCCTGTCTCTTCACTAGCTTTATTCTATGAGCATAAACCAATCCCTCCTCAAAGCAAGTACACGCTGGTGTTAACTGGCCCATTGGGAGTTGGGATAAAATACCTATTTTGGAATGTAAAATGAAGGAAGGGTGTCAGCTAGCATCCTGGATGTTGCTCTGAAAGACCGTGAAAATACGTTTCTTTTAGGGTGGAGGTAGAATGTACGTAACAAAAGCTCCCCTTCAAGAGAATCTGTCTTATAATGTGCTCTTCTTGAGTTCGTGGATTTTCACACGCATTGTATGTTATGTTTTAGGTTCAGCTCTCTCTCTGGCTCTCCGTATTCCTGACACTTGACTGTATTCCGCCATCACTGGGCTGTTTTCCTGATACTGAACCATGCAGCGGAGATCCAGAGGGGTGAACCTTGGGCTGCTGCTGCTCCTTTCTCAAATCTTCCACGTTGGGATCAACAATATCCCACCTGTCACCCTAGCAACTTTGGCACTTAACATCTGGCTCTTCTTGAATCCTGTGAAGCCCCTGTATGCCTCCTGCATTAGCGTGGAGAAGTGCTACCAGCAGAAAGACTGGCAGCGACTGCTGCTCTCCCCCTTTCACCATGCGGACGACTGGCATCTGTATTTCAATATGGCCTCCATGCTATGGAAAGGAATCAAGCTGGAGAGAAGAGTGGGAAGTAGGTGGTTTGCCTACCTCATAGCCACATTCTCACTACTCACTGGGATAGTATACCTGCTTTTGGAATTTTCTCTTGCAACATTTATAGATGAACCTGACTTCCAAAGGCACTGTGCTGTAGGCTTTTCAGGTGAGGCAAATGAACTGCTGAGAGAGCGTGCATGAAAACAGCAGGGCAGGTGTGCCGGCTGTCATTTGATGACGTGTAGGGCCCTGGTTGGTAAAAGCAGTGAATTCTGAGAGGCCAGGAGCTGCTGAGGCTCTTGATTTTGGAGAAGAGGCTGGTTGGAGACCCCGGTCTCGCTGTTCCACACCATGTTGCATCTTTCACTCTTGAACAGTCTGGACTGAGTCATAGTTGAAGGTGGTTCTGTAGGGAGAGGAATCCTGGAAAAATGCACTGGCCGCATCATGGTGGGGTCAAGGAGAGCTATGTGGGTGGACGATGATAGGGAGGTCTCAAAAAAGAGGACAGCTCTCATTAAAATTAATGCACCACTCCCTCTCCATGGCATGCACACCACCTTTTAGGAACCAAGGTGGTCACTTTACACAACTCCTATTTTAGTTCATAATGGCAGATCTAGAGCAATGTCTTGATTTTACAGATGAGGAAAGTTAGACCCAGAGATGTGAGAAAACTTGTCCACTGTACCACTTACGAGCTCTGTGAGTAACAGAATTGGGATTTGAACCCAGTCTACATGATTTTCATCAGGCATTTCATGGCCTCTCATTTTTCCCCTTCAACAAGATGGACTGACACAGTGGCTACAACAGTGGTCTCAAACATAGCGATGGTTGTGAGGATGGTGCAGGACCGGGCAGTGTTTCGTTCTGTTGTATGTAGGGTCACTATGAGTTGGAACCGACTTGGTGGCACCTTACGACAACAGCAGTCCTTTTTTCACAGGAGTGAAATTGCCATCAGGATTTAAATGAAGTGTTTTAAAAACTGGAATGTGAAGAAGAGAAGGGAAGTAGTCCTCAAGCAGAAGGCCATGTAATGCACCCCTTCCTTCTCTCACCCTGCCGTTCTCCCTGCTCCCCAAGGTGCATCCTTATGATCTCATCGGGGGGGAGAGCATAGAAATGTGCCCTGTCTTCCATACGTCTTTCCATCACAGACGTTAGAGATACATTTTGTCCCTATTTTGTGTGTTGTGTACTTAGTAGTGTTCTAAAAGTCAGTATGAACTTCTATGCTAAGAAACCTCAGAAAAATTATTGCCTTGAACGTGTATTTATATATATTTTTAACCAAATGCTGGGTGACGTGTTGGAAGGGGTAGAATATGTTTTAACAGAAAAATGTAGATGTAACTCAATGATCACTTTCATGTTTAGCTAATTTTTTTGTGTGTGAATGTTGATGTCCGGGTGTCTCTCCACATTTGGATTACTGATATTTGTATGCTGTTTATTCCTTTTTAGGAGTTTTGTTTGCTTTGAAAGTTCTTAACAACCATTATTGTCCTGGAGGCTTTGTCAATGTTTTGGGCTTTCCTGTACCCAACAGATATGCTTGTTGGGCAGAACTTGTGGCCATCCATTTCTTCACACCAGGGTAAGTTTTTCCTTTTAAAGAATTAAGGTGAAGAATTTGATGTCCTCAGAGAAATAGTTGCTATAATAATGAGATAACCAGATTTTTTTTTTTTTTTTTTAAATCTATAAAGTTTATTCTTTAACTTTAAACAGAATTGAGCTTAGTGGCTTTAATTCCTGGATTTGAATCCTGTCAGCCACTAAACTGTGTGATTTGGAGCACTTATCTTACCTGAATTTCAGTTTTCTTATCTTTTAAGTAGGAATAAGAGAATCTAATATATGGGATTGAGGACCAATATTAGCCAGCAAGTCAATCACTTAATTCTAATAACAATAATCCGAAGACGCATAGAGAAACCATATAATAATAAAAATGAAAAATGCAGACCAAGCGGAAGGGACACTAGCCCGGTGCTTGCAAGTCATTTTAACTGTGGATCATCTTGGTTGGTGTCGTCTGTTGCTGCTGAGTTGGCTCCAGCACGTGGTGACTCCACACACAAAGCATGAAACGTGGCCCGGTCCTGGGCCATCCTCGTGTGTGTTGGTGTGCTCAAGGCCATTGTCACAGCCACTGGGTACTTTCAGTGCCTTCCAACCTGGGAGCTTCATCTTCTGGCACAATGTTGGACACTAGTCGGTTGTGATCCGTAGGGCTTGGTTTAGTTTAGTTTGTTTATTTTGTTGTTGTTGTTGAGAATAGGCACCGCAAAATGTGCGCCTCTTCTGCAGTTTCTACATGTGCAATTCAGTGCCATTGATGACACTCTTCAAGTTGTACAACCATTCTTACCCTCCTTTTCTGAGTTGTCGCTCTTCTGTTAACATCAACTCACTGCATCCTAAGGCTCCTCTCTATCTTACGAGTTACTGTGGTCACGCTGACCCCTGATAGATAGATGTTAGAAGAGCTTACTGCTCAAGGCAGACATTTCCTTACTAGGTAAGCTAATCTCGTGTTTGGTTTCAAGAAGAATTCAGTGAATATTTTTAGGTAAAGTTTAAAGATTATCTCAGTGCTTCGGAAACCCAAGGAGGGGTTGCTCTGAGTTGGAGACGATTCGATGGCACATAACAACAACAACACAGGGCAGTAGTTTCAGGGCTTCATCCAGCCTCCATGGCTTCAGAAAGTCTGGACTTCATGGGAATTTAAAGTTTTCTTCTGTGTTTTCCCCCCTTGGATTAGAATTCTTCTATAGAGTCTTTGATCAACATGTTCAGTGATAGTAGCTGGGCACATCTACTTCTTCTGCTCTTATGGCAAAGGAGGCATTTGTTCATGGAGGCAGTTGACCATATACTTCACACACTCCTCCTTCCTCTGTTGCTGCAGGTGAATAGAGACCAATGGTTGTTCCTTAGATGGCTGCTTCATGGCTCATTTTGGAATTAGATTGCTAGGCCTTTCTTCCTAGTCTGTCTTAGTCTGGAAGTTCTGTTGAAACCCATCCACCACAGGTAACCCTGCTCATATTTGAAATACTGGTGGTGACATAGCTCCCAACATCACAGTAATATGCAAGCCACTGTAGTACGACAGGCTGGCAGGTGGTTGGTAGTAGAACTCTTGAAACAAAGGACATGACTCACAGTCCAAGTACGTAACATGGATCAACCCTGAACTGTTGTGAGCTTTGAGGAAGTGTGGGGTGCTGTGGCTGCCTCTCATGGCCTCCACAGAACCTGGGGGCTCCAAGCATCGCAGTTTGTGGGCCTGTGATCTAGATGAATCCTGTGCTTTATAGTACATGGAGACTCGGGGAGACTAAGGGGCTTGTCACGTGCCACGCAGCTCATGATAGACACCAGAGGAGGCAGGAGTCATGCCTCCTGACTCCTGGTATGGTGTCCCTGCCCATTCGTGCTGCACTTCCCTCCTTTAAGCCTTTTCTCTGCTGTCTAGGAAAAGGAGACTGAATTTGGGGTAGTTAAGTTTGTATGTCAACTTGGCTGGGCCTGGTTGAGTGGCTGGGCAGCTGGATGTAATATTCTCCATGATGAGACTGGTAATCAACTCCATGGTGGAATCTACTGGGAGCAGCTGAGTAGCTGGCTTAGGGCTGTGGTATGCTTCCTGCATATAAGGAGAAGCCTTGGAACATTCTCTAGCTGATGGCACGCTTGAACCCTGCATGTAGCTGTGTCATTGTTCAGCAGCCTGACCTTGGGACTTTCAATGGACTTGAATTAATGGCCTGCCGGGTGGTTTGGTAACATTGAGATTGTGTCTTTTTACTTGTCAACCTTGGGCTTGTCAGTCTCAGCAGCCAGCAGGTGTCTGAGTGAGGAAAAGCCTCTAATTCCAGTGGGCCAGGAGCAGGAGGCAGAGCTGAAACCCAAAAGATTGAGGGGCTTTCACCCAGCTCCTAGAGCCCAGCACTTTGAACGTGGACTTAAAGCCTCCAAACTATAAGAGAATAAACTCCTGTTTGTTCAAGCCATCCCAATTGTGGTATTTTCTTGTCAGAGCGCCACTAGGTAACCAGAACAGAATATGGTACTGAGAGAGTGGGGTGCTACTCTGACAGATACTGAAAATGTGAAAACAGGAGTGGAGTGTGTCATTGACCCAAGACCCCAGCATGCGGCATGAGAGATGGCAGGAGCAGAGCCAAGAGAATTGGCCTGAGACAGCGACAGCCTTACCAGCCCGTGGAGGAGAGAGTTGAATGCCATTGTGCAAGCGGCTTTCTGGCAGTGTGGGTTGCCTTTGGGCATTAATTGGTAGAAGAGACCGGCATGAAGTGGAGTAGCGGGTTGGCCGGCCCATGGAGCAAGAAAGCTGAGTGCTTTTGGGGCAGGAATATTTCCTGCAGAGTGGGTTGCCCTCGGTGTTAATCAGCAGAAGCAGAGAGACCAAGGAAACGGGAAGGAGAGCTGCCTCAGCCTTAAGGGTAGGACCGTGGCCTCTGGGGGTGGAACCACCATAGCTCCTAGGTTTCAAAGAGTTAGACCTTCACCAACTTGGTTCTGAAGTGTGGGGCCACTCTACTGGGCCAGTGGGATGGAGCCATAGCCGCTGCCCAAGAGATAGAGGAACAGGCCTCGCCAGGCCAAGGGGGTGAGGTCGCCATTCAGGGACTAGGGGACAGGAGCCATCCAGTGAAGGAGATCCGTACAGCTGCCAAGTTGAGAATGAGTGGAATTGTGGTAATTAAGTTTGTGTGTCAACTTGGCTGGGCCTGGTTGAGTGGCTGCGTAGCTGGATGTAGTGTTCCCCATGATGAGACTGCAATCAACTCCATGGCGGAAGCTACTGTGAGCAGCTGAGTAGCTGCCTTAGGGATGTGGTCTGCCTCCTGTATATAAAGAGAAGCCTTGAGGAACGGTCTCTAGCTGATGGCATGCTTGAACCCTGCATGTAGCTGTGTCATTGTTCAGAAGCCTGCCATGCTCTGTCAACCTTGGGACTTTGAGTAGACTCTGGTAGCATAGTGCCTAAGGCATTTGACTGCTAACCAGAAGGCTGGCGGTTCAAACCCACCAGCCACTCCTTGGGAAGAGGATGGGGCAATCTACTTCCGTAGTGATACTGCCTCAGAAACCCAAGGAGGGGTCGCTGTGAGTAGGATCTGAGTTGATGGCAGTGGGTTGGGGTGTTTTGGTAACATCTGGACTGTGCCTTTTTATTTGTCAACCTTAGGGTTGTTAGTCTCAGCAGCCAGCAGCTGTCTGAGTGAAGAAAAGCCTTCAGCACTAGGTAACCAGAACAGAGTTGTATGTTTCACCTCTTGACCTGCTTCCCTTCACTTAATCTGTATAAAGACCAGAGACACATGGTTTGTGTATTTCTACTCTACTGGACTTGTTGTACATTGTGTGGAGAGGATAATATTCAAGGGAAGGAGAGAGGAGCTGTCCTCTCAGACAGGAATTTTATGTTGGTTTTGGTTTGTGTAACTGGGTTGAGTGTCATACTTTACTGGAGGATACTGTCTCCAGTGTCTGCCTGGCAGTGAGCCTTTCTTTAGTGCTAATTCCGCATCTACAACCAGCAGTAATGTGCCCCTCCCCCTTACCACTCATTTGCAACCGTATTGTTATCTAGTGACAGTTTAGCCAAGAAAGCCTCACAAAATCTTCAAAGTTTTCTTGGATAAAAGATCAGGTGATGTCCCTCTCTGCTGAACAGCCCTCACTGGACCTGTCACTCACAGCTCCCTGCCTGGCTTGATGTGACTTGGTTTTCTGTGTAGCTGGGAGACTCTTGTGGAGGGCGGGTGACACCCAGCATTCATATGAAAATCACTCCCTCTGGTACTTAAACTTTTATTCTGTAATGAATCTCCTGAATAGCAATACCTTTAAGTCCTTGTGCAGCTGTTTCTGAAGAATGTCATCATAGCTTTATTTAGTTTTGTAGAACCCCCTCCCCTCCTTTAAGACACTCTGGTGGTGTAGTGGTTAAAGCATTGGGCTGCTGACTAAAAGGTTGGCAGCTCGAAGCAGGTGTTCTGCGGAAGAAAGAAGAGGAGGTTTGCTTCCATAAAGATTTACAGCCTTGGAATCCCAATGAGGGTCACTATGAGTCAGAACTGACTTGATGGCATTGGGTTTGGTTTGGTGTGGTCCCCCCACCCATTTAGCTCTGGTAGAATAGTACCTAAGGCACTTGACTCCTAACCAGAAGGCTGGCGGTTCAAACCCACCAATCACTCCTTGGAAGGAAGATGAGGCAATCTACTTCCGTAGTGATATTGCCTTGGAAGCCCAAGGAGGGGTCGCTATGAGTTGGGTCCAACTTGATGGCACACAACAACACCACCACCCATTTACGTGGAAAGGGCATAGTTGCATTTTCATGTTGTATGTTTATTTGCTGTGGATGGACCTGATATTCTGAATCTGAGATTCAAATTTTCTGTCTTTGAAGTGGGAAGGAAGAAATCTTTTGCTTTTTGGGTTCTGATTGCTTAGAGTGATAAACTGCTAATACCTGGGCATGAGTGTGTGCAAGGAAAGAACCAGCCAGAACTGAGTACGTGGTGTGCAAAAACAGACTCATCCAGATCT